TTCCAAGTTTTACAGCTTCATTACTGTTTATGTTTGCTGCCGCCATCTTGGATTGTTAACTCGTGGTTGCTGGGGCTGTTCCAACTTTCCGAGTAGGAAATGCAAGTTGAGGTGTTCAAGATTCATATTCCAAACTCGAACTCGGAAATTCCAACTTCACATTCATTCTGGAACCCACTATTATTGTGCGTTTTATGTCACTGAAAATATTTAACTTTTGGACTTTGGAAAGACAAAGGACTTTTAAACTCTACAGAGCGATGGGGTTTTTTTGTGATTTTTCTGCAGTATCACCCTTTTTCACAGTCATGTAACTTTATGGAAACACTCACGTCATGAAAGGCAATACATACATTTTCTTTGTTACAAGGAAACTTCACATCGTGGCCTCAACCACAGCTCTAGGATTCCATGTTTTAAGCCATTTCTACTGTTTTCTGGTATTATTTTGAGGAAGATTGTTCAGGCATTCATTCGATACTGGAAGTGCACACAGGCAGGAAAAATGGGTTAAAAACTGAAACCGAAAGCTCACTGCTGAGAGAATGCTACTGAGGTATGCGCTCCAGACACTCAACCACTGGGCCACCCCCTTTTTTCAGGCATTTAATAATGTGAATTGAACAATCTATCTGAACATAAGATGAGATTTACAAATGTACTATTTGGTTACACACAAACTTTAATCATTGGTTATTATTCATCTCTTTCCTACAGTGTGTCTTTTGTCCTGTCTTTCTCCCCTCACCCCCAAGACCTGACTGTGCCCGTTTCTGCTGGAGGTTTATTCCTGTTAAAACCGAGATCTTCCTTCCCGCTGTCATCAAGTGCTTGTTCACAGGGGCTCATCTGATTGTTGGGGTGTTCACTGTATTATTGTCTTTACCTTACTGTCTTTGCCTTGAGGCAACCGTTTCTGTGATTTGGAGCTATAAAAATAAAACTGAACTGAATGAATGAACAAGCTCATGCTTCTCTGTTTTGTTGTAAAATTTCAGTTGGCTAAATTTTCAAAGATGGCAAAAAGTTCAAAAGCTAAAAGCATCATAAAGACGTCCTCCCATTCATGCAAAACTGGAGAATTCTACACTGTTCTTCTTCCTTACAACTTATCCTTAGCCTCGAACACACCATCCTCTCCTCTACTCCCCGATTGCACCACCTCTCTGTCTCTCTCTCTTTCTCTGTGCCACTGTGCCAGTCACCACGCTCTAGGGCTCTGGAGATATTTCAAACATATCTGAGAAATCAATCTTACAGCAAACTGAAGGAAAACATCGAATGTCATTGAGCAATAAGTATGAAGCCTGTCAGAGGTGGAGCTGAGAGCTGGGCCTGCGGCAAGTAAGGCCTGCCAGTATCCCAGTGAGAGGCCTCGTCAGCTCGGCCCCCGTGCCTCTTCCCATACACACATTCACACACACAAGCGTACATGTGCGCGCATACACACACACACACACACACACATAGTTACAATGTCGTTATACTGTTTTTGATTCACACTGCTTCCTCTTACTTCACCTATCTTACTTCTGTCTGTCCAGGATATTTAAAAAATAAAAAAAGTGTGCATTTATATTGTGTATTAGATACAGACAGAAAACATGGAGAGAGACAGCAGGGGTACGACATGTAGCGAAGGTCAAGCCAGCTTGCTAAATACAAAAAATTAAAACCATGCAATAATTAGAATTCAAATAATTGATAAGCTATTACTTTAATTACCGGTCATTATGGCAATCATTTTCTTGTTTTGTCACAATCCATTTCAGTTCCACAGGTGCACAATGGCATCTTGCATCTCATATGATGAAAACCCAAACAAATGATATTCAATTTAGTGTCACAGGAGGATTTTTTTTTTGCTATTTTGCTTTAAAAGAATTACACGATTACTGGATTATCAAAATTGTGTGATAACTTAATCAAGCTTGTTCCACTTTCAAATACAGCTATTTGCTCTAAATTGATCTGTATAACAATTACACAATCAAATTTATTACCCGCTCATTTAGCAAAATCTGACTAAATGATTGTATGCCAGCAGCGATTTCAAAAAAAAAAAACAAAAAACCAATGGGTCTTTGATCCTTCTCACAGAATACAAGATGCTCTGAAACTGTACGTCCTCCACTATGTGGTTCAGGGTAACCCTTTGCATCTAGCTGAGAGGAGAAGTAGATACAGGCCAACAGAAAATGAAAACACGAGAGAGGAAGACAGATTTCAGTAGGCAGGAGGGGAGAAGGGCAGCAGATAAGGAGAGACTCAGCCCAGATAGACAAGTGAAAGGAAGCAGAAGTTGATGAAACAAGATGTCACCACTGATGGGTCATTACACCCAAGTAAGCATGGGACACTAGCTGAGCTTGCACTGCCCCCACCCCTCACCACCACCCCTTCATCTTTTTTTTTTGTCCCTGAGCAGACAGTAACTACTTTATTGCTACTGCCTCCTCACTATTACTTTTCAGGCTCTGTGCTGATTATCCTCTCGGTACAACAAATCACTGCAGCTCAGTGTCGCGGCACTCCAAATTGGCCCGCTTATATTTGCGTACAGATGTGTTTACATCCCCAGGTCAATTGAATTAGGCCTTATAATGAGCCTGGGTGCTGAACAGCTAGCATGCCTGAGCACACTGGGGCATGAACAGGCGCAAATCAGGTGAATCCAGTTAAGAGAGCTTACACTTAACATCACATGCACCCAGTATTTGTCTCGCCGTCTCTTGCTGCACCCATCCTGTTGCTCATTATTATGACTCCAAGCCTGAATGATGATCAGGGCAACAACATCTATGCAACGCCACATCAACGGGTTGAGGGTGTGGAATCAAAAAGCAACACTAATCTACAAATCCCCAGTGTGAGAGTTTGATAGTAAAGCTCAACCATTACTTGTTTTAAAGCTTACTCATTATTTAGCCTTCTTATCACACAGCCACTGGTCACATCACAAAGATGAGCCAGTACGGATGCAGAAAGTGAGATGTTAATGTAAGGAAGAACACTGAATGAACAAATAACACTGAATTATTCAAAAATATGCCTAAATCTGAGTGCATGAGGGATGAATTAGTGATCTGCCAGTGATTTAGAATGATAATGAAATGTTTGTTTCTGGTGATGGACAGGGTAGCCTGGGTAAGTGCTGTGATGTGAATATGACAGTTGGATCTGAGGTCCTTGAGCTGTTCAGTGACAGGGAACAGAGAGGTCATCATTATAGAAAACAGAAAGAGCTGCTTGACCTTGAAAAGTAAGGTTATATGCGTGCTTACTGTCTTGCATCAGCCCCCATAAATACACATACATATTTTTATTATTGCACCTGAAACAAATACAATGTAAACACATAATTTAAAAGTTTAATGATAAGCATAATTTACAATTAGTTGAGTTACGTCTCAAAATATGTTGATGTAGAGGGAAATGTATTAGCCTGCAGTATAGATGAGCCAATTATTTTAACTCAGAAATAAACCTGAAAGCTCGTGCAAAGAAAAAAAACAAACAAAAGCAAAAACAAAATATGTATATATATTCTGAGCCTCAATGGTCGCCATCAATCAAATACAAAATACCAAACTAATGTAGTCCGTATTAGGTAAGAGTTTCAGGTTTTTCACACATGAAGTGATGGAAGAGCCCAGAGGGATCTCACATCAGTTTCCATGTGTGCATGTAGACTAGTGAGTGGAACTAAAACCAGGCTTGCGAACCAACGCGCCCTGGCTCCACTGGGACACACATAAGCGACAACAACAGCCGAATTAACCATGCACACTGCAGACGCCAGCGCGCTGAGCTAATACCAGCGAGCTGTGTGCTCAGTCAGCGGCCTCGGGTCCACTCTGGTCCACTGATTCGAGGGACTACGATGAACCGTCATGCAGCTATGGTTCTGTGCCGTGAAATTTGACCGGGGTGTGAAGGTGGAAAAACCAAATAAGCATGATGCTGAAATACAGTATCACGCTTTCTCACCCCTCTCACGCCCATCTCTCAACACTGTCAAACAAGATAAAGTGGAAAATTGTACATGATCAGAACGGTCTTGATTTCTTCATTGTGACTAATGTGCCATTGGCTCTGGCTTGTTTGAACTACCGTCTCCTTTATCTCTAGCAGTTTAAAAAGAATAAAACAGTTTTAAAAATCTGGTTTAATAAGTTCCTTCTTACTTTTCCCAGCATTTTCTATTTCAATTAGATACAACAAAAGGTCACATTTCACACAATACCCATTTTGCTTTACTTTCCTCACAAGTGAATCCCTTCTCTATTTCCTTGTGTTTTATTTTTTTACATTTACTTCAACAAAACGCAACCAAGGATCACTTGGCACTTTTTTTTTTCCTGTCCATCAGAAATCTTCTCTTGACCCTGGACATGTTGCTGCCTTCATGCTGGTAACTCTAATAGCATCCGATCCACAGAGAGCAGACCAACACTGCTTGAGCCACACAAACACAGGCACACACAAAGCTCCGTGCACCCTTTCTGCAGCATTCCTGTAACACTGATAACAGAGTTCATCTCTTTGCTTTCCTCATGTGTACTGCATAAAGGTCATAAATGCATTAAACTAACATTTGCACAGGCAGGAGGACACACACATACACACACAGAGAACTCACAGGGGTATTGAAGGACCCCCCACTCTCTAAAATAAATAAATAAAATGCAGCATGAAGAGAAGACAGCACAAACAAAGACCCTTATTACCTGGACCAAGGTCCTATTACCTGGACCTTGAGGGGCCTTGGCTGCCTAGACGGCATCTGAAGGTGGAGCCTCCAGTCTTAGTATCCATGACCACAAACACACACAAAGCGGCTGAAACAGTCAACTTGGGCTGGCAGAGAGCTGGTCTCAGCCACTCTCACCACACCGGGCCTAGTTATACTCTGTCTGTGTGAGGTACACTGATTACTGATATTACACGCACACACACACACACACACTACCTTCACTGCAGGGTATGTGTAAACTCACCATGCAGAAGCAGGTCGCTGCATTAAACACAAGCATATGCTAGCAAGGAGTCTTACTATGATCTTGCACACAGCACTCCACTAGACTGGGCTTCAACACGCTACACTAGTCCGTATTCCACTGCATTACATTGGGCAGGCTAACGCTAGCTCACGCACTGCCACAGTGTTAACAACCGCTCGGTCCTTGCTAGCAGGTTGCTAAGCTAGGCTAAAGCAAATCAAGGCCTCCTGCAGTCATTGGTGTGAGAGCCCATTTTCACAGTTCACACCCGACCTGCTAATGGCTGATCATTCATTCACGCTCTCTGTTGATTGCACAGGCAGGGGGTTGGCCAATCGTACAGTTCGCTAATGTACCGTACATAGTGAGGATAATCGGCGAGAGCAATAAGCATGTTAATGTTCTGTTGGCCATGAAAACTGAGGTCTGGTAATCTGGGAATATTTTATGAGCAGGATCATCTCAAGAGTTGTGTTTGGTTCGGAACTACAGGTCGGGGCAGCAGAAGATTCATTCATAAAAGACAAACTTGTTCAGTCCGCGGTGTTTAAGGGACCACATTCCTTATGATAATGTTACAGTTTAAATCCATGTACCGTGTCGTCCAGCAGTGGTTATATCGGAAATGCTCAGTGCAGATGCAGACCTCTGAAATGAAATGCTTTAATTCTGCATGCCCTGAAGGCAAGCAGAAGAACTGTTTGAACTTGAACATGTACATGTTTTGGATAAACTTTTTGGATCAACTTTATAATATCCGAGTGTATGTTGATATTTGATTACTGCTGAAACTGTAACAGCACAATAACACGGTATGTCCTAAAGACGTGACCTTGCCATGACCATCAGGATACTTTGAAGGCACAAACTATGACATTAATGTCTAGCACATTTGTACTTATTGATCCTGATTTTTTTAATGCTTGACACATTGTTATTCTTTAACCTCCTAGGACCTGGCGTCTACATGTGGACATCACATTTTGGGTTATTTAGACCAAAATACTCCATTTTGCTCTACAAGGGCCTGATATTCACTTACGAGGACATTATACTGCTACTGGTCTATTGAAATTTTAAACGAATATCCTCATATGTGGCTCTCATTTTTCTTAGAAACAAAAAATCAGGTAAAAAAACCCCAAACAAACAAAGAAAGTAATTCTTTGTTTTTACATTCATCAGGCCCCAATATGTACAAAAATATCAAAGAGTTCGGGTCTTAGGAGGTTAATACTATTTGTGTCCAAATTTGAGGTAAAACACAAACTGGATGGATAAAATCAACGAAACATTGTCCCAGTCTGGCCAGAATAGGGGCTCATGCTGAAGCCACTTTCACAACTAAATGAGACTAAACATCAGGTTGAGACACGCAACGCTTACTGACTGACACTGTTCACAATTATCATTCATTTTTCATAGAGCACTAACTGAACAAGGACATGAAATCAGCTAACATAGTGTAGAGCTGTATCATCTCTATCGTCCAGGCTCTAATGAAGGATTTCATATTCAAAACAGATCTCCTTCATATCAAATCTTTTTTTCTTTTTTGCAGCAGTTTTAATCAAATCATAAACCAAACAACCTTGTGTCCTTAATTGGACTGTCATTCCCTCTCTTACAGAGACACATTTGTATGAAAATTTTAATGTTTTTTGTCACAATGGAAATTGGTTACTTGCTGAGAAAAACCCTTCTAAAACCATCACCATGTAGCTGAAAAAAGAAATCTTTGTATGACAGTCAGTAATTCTAATTATGTTACTAATTAGTGAGCAAAGGCAGAGAAACTAAGTCTGAAGTAAAAAGAAACCTCACAAATAAAACACTTTATATATTAAGACAGCATGCTTCGGGCAGTATATAGATTTGAACAAGGGAAGCACATTTCACTCCCTATAATTAATATTAGTGTACACAGAGGATTAATGCACACATTCACTTTTACTGTATTTAGAAATTCTAATTGACGTTAGGCTTGTATCAGTTTAGCATTTTCTGTGTCAGCAAAGAGCTGTGAGGCATGCTGACGTGAACCATGTTGCATCTGCCTCCCTCACAGGTTTTTCACAGTGCATTAGGAGAACCTTGCAGAATTAGTCTTTGAGATCACACTGCATTTTCTGTGCGACTACACATCCTTACCCTGTGGATGAGCTCAACTCTCCTACTCTGTCCATCTGGATATCCCAACTTATCCCAGAAAGTCCAGTTCTGCCAAACATGACAAACTTCGTCTACTAGATTGGATTAAAGCATGAGAGGGAGCATGCAGCCAAGGCCTTAGACTTAAATGCTCTCCAGGCTAAAAAGAGAGTGATAGAGTTAGTGCCAAGGAAGCATAATTAATGTTCTTAATTGGGTCTTTCCTTACAGTGGCGAATGATAGTGCACTCATAGTTAGCCATGGCTCCAGGGCCACTGCCATGCGCTCTTAGTGACGTGTGTCCTGTGCTTGTCTGATCTCATACACTTGCTGGCCTCGTCCTGCAAGAATTTAGACAACGCTCAACTGTGGGCAGAGGAGGAGATAAATACTAATGCACATATGTTTCGTGCTTCTCAAGCAGGTATCATCCCCCCTCATCCCTTTATTCCAGCTGCTGAATGATGAAGTGAGTCATAACAAACCCCCTCTGTGTCCCATCTGATTTGGCCTTTGTCCACTACAAGATTTACTTAACCTCCTAAAGCTGCTCTCCCCCAGAGGTCTTACTTACAAGCACTCTCCTCCTCTCTCTGACCGCTGGCTTAGTGACATCAGATGGCCAACGAGGTGTAAATCCGCTGCCCTTAAAGAAGTTAAGTCAGGTGTAACACACAAGCCTGTTTGGTAGAGGAGAAATTGCCAAATACATTATTTTGTGCTGAGAGAGCATGTGCGAAAAATGTATGCATGCATAATAGATAGATAGATAGATAGATAGATAGATAGATAGATAGATAGATAGATAGATAGATAGATAGATAGATAGATAGATAGATAGATTTAGTCAGGGATTGTGTGTAATGTATTTTTCAGTACATGCCTTTTCAAGTGTGGGTATGGAGCTGGAGAAAATAGTGAAAAAGCAAAAGGTCATTTTAGTCAATAGTTGTGTATTTTTGGATTGTCCCATACACCTGTTTCTTCCAGCTAACACCAGCAGGGGTCAGTAGTGCACTGTTATCCTAGTTTCTGACTGCCTTTCATTCAAACCAGGAAAATTGTCCATTACTACACTGATGATTTAAATTATATAAAAAAAAATTTCCATGGCTTTACATCATATTCCGTATTCTGTTGCAATAATGAAAAATAAATAAGATGCAGTTCAAAAATAATAATTTCATGCTTACAGCACCTATTTAATATGTGGGTTAGGGTCAGTAACTCATGGACAGCTATTGAAAGGAGAGCACAATTTTTTAAATTATAATGAGGATACAAGTAAAAGGGTGAGGCATCACTGCACTCACATGCCTCGTGACGTTCATGACCTAAATTTACATTCACTTTATTAATGCAAATTCACTGCTATTAATTAGAGTAAATGTCTAACTATCTATTTGTATTGTCCCAAAATAGACCATTAAAAATGAATTGATAAAAATTAGGTAAGGAACAACTAACTTTAAAACAATCGCTTGATATTTTTGTACACAAAGGGCTGTGCAATTACATCTGTACCCAAATCATTGTGCTGAAATGCCATTTTTCTTAGCAAACATGGACAGAGGAATGCAGTGGCAGCTTAGCGTCCAACACAGGGAGAGACTGACACACTTTCTCTCTGTGTTTTCACCCTTAGGCAGAGAGCTAATTAAGGAGGGACTGTGGTTTTATTTACTGTCAGCTCCTGGCCTCTGGGTGTGTGTGTTGCTGTGCATGTATATGTGTGTATATGAATGGATTGTGCCCTATCTGAGAATGTTTTCAGTCACACCAGTTTAGTTGGGCCTTGCCATTTTGCCCACATTCCGCCAGCGGCACTATGATAGTGGTAAGGCTGACTGTTATCCATTAGCAAAAGCTTCTCTTAGAAGGGTATCTCCTCGGCAGTGCTCGGCACAGCAGCAAGCGCTGCAGGGAGAAAAGTAATTACAACGCTCTCAATATAATATAGCGATCAGAGATATCTTAAAGATCTGATGTGGGTATCTACTATCAAAACGGGTAATCTGATGGGGATCATTCCATCATCCTTAATCCCAATTTACTGAATACATATCATACTCTATTATGGTCATTTAAATATACCAAATACAATATACAATAATAGTCTTTGAAATTATCATAAAAAATGACAGCACACTGGTTATAATTATAATTATATAATGAACATCCGACTTCTGCTCACATAATTATAATTTAGATTTGATTTGTCTCCTTTGAGCTGTTTTGACTGTTTAAAACTCCCTGGCCATCGAAAGCAATTGATCTGAAGTATATAAATGTGCATATGTTTTGGAAATAAAGTGTTTTACATTTAAACTGAAATCCAGTGAGGAAACATTGGTGCCCAGCAGGAATGAAGTGTAACATAAACAGGTTTAGGGGAGTAAAAATGTACAAAATCATTTTCGCCTCCAGTCACAAATGCTTATTGTCGTGTTTCATGTATGTTTCATCCACATCATGCAAAATTATGTTAGCTCCTATCAAATCCATCTGTTAAAGCCTCCACTTACCTTCGGTGTGGAGGTAAGACATGTATGTTCACTCATTTGGAAAACAATGGTTCTAAAATTAAACACACTTACTCCAACTCACTGCAAATTGTCAATTAAAAATTGACTTTGAATTGACTCAGTTTTTGAATTGAGTCAATTTTCAGTTCAAGTCAATTGAAAATTGACTTTGAATTAACAGTAATAGATATTTTGCGCCCAGAAATGAAATTAAAATTGTATCAGTTTCATGTATGCTGGATTTTTGTAATTCCAGAGAAAGACTATGCAGTATATAATATATGAGATTACTGACCTCTGATTCCCCCCCCCCTTTTTTTTACATTGTGTTCTGTTAAATCTTGAAAAATATACAGTGATAAAAAAAATATACCCACTGTCTCTATTGACTGTGGATGGTCATCTGTAGTTAGGCTGACAGTGGACATCCTCCCAACATCCGCTGATGTTGATCAAACAGAACCTGCAGTCCCCCACTGGCCCCAAGCTGATTCAAACAGTACCTCAGCACGACTCTCTTTACAGGGTTCCACTAAAGC